CGTGCGAGACCTTGTAGAAAATCTTGCTAAAGTCAATAAAGATCACATCCGTTTCGTGGCCAGCGGCCTTGATGGACGCCCATTATTCCCGAGCAATCAGCAAACTTAATACGCAATGATCGTTGCAATCCGAATCCATTTTTCTTGGAATAGAGAAAATTGCTAGGCAGTAAGTGTTCTCGTAGTCGCTTGATGAGAACTCGTTCCATCAGTTTACGAGTTACAGGTGAAATTGACCGGACGGTAATTGCCAGGGTCCCCATGGGCTCGTCTTTTGAAGAGAAGGCGTGCAATGGCGATCTTTCACTCAACAGGCAGTCTTCTCACGGCTAATGATTGATTAAACAATGCGGACAGAGTGTGAAAAATGACTGGTGTCAGTTGCTTTAGGAGGATGGGGTGCACTCCGTCAGAACCCGGCGATTGAAATGGCTTTAAAGTTTTAAGCGCTTCCACGACCTCCACTGTGATGACTTACCAGACCAGGGGTGGCGCTGTACACGACAGTTGAGGAATCGGGGGAGGAGCGTTAATTTAGACCGACGTGTAACGCTGCGCGAATACTTCCGTTCCACCGTCGGTTTCCGCTAGGGCACTATGATACTTCAGGGACGGGATATCGACCATCGCCAACGTTCGACTTCAGAGATAAGCATGATGGCTAATTCTGTTGCCAAGGCCTCGTAGTACCTCAAGTCAAGTAAAGCTTTATACACTCAATAGGATGAATGTTCAGCAGTTTCGACAAGTTACAGTGAGGAAAACGTTAAGCATTGAAAAAGGAGAAATATACATTTACTAAATGAAAAACAAATGGATTAGATAAAAACCTAGTGTGATTGGTCAAGTCAGTAATAATACTTACTCGGCTGACCAAGATACGAGCAAAATAAGTGATCATGCTGTTTTTGTATGTGGTGGTGCGTGCACAAAGAATCCGAAATTGGGAACGGGTAATCGGATGAGACACCGATTTATTGAGATGGGAGTGTAGGTAGCGTTCTTCACTGCACAGGATATGGCTGATAAATCGATCGCATGGATCAAAATGCTTGCTCACAATAAACTCAACCAAAACGGTCTTTGAAATACCGCTGTAACAAAAATGTTCGGGAGATCTGGAAAAGAGAATAAAGTCTTTCTCTTTCAGACCAGGAAAATACACGGGGGAACAGTACAAACAATTTAGAAGAATGCATGCAGTCACAAACTTAAGAATTGCATTTAGGGGAACGCTGAGCTTTTTAAGCCTAAAAGCGTAGAAGGATAGTCTACAAACCCTAATCTAAGTGTTTTCAACACGTCCGCTTGACTGATTTCATCTCAGAGCAGGCAGTACGTAGTGATTTATACCTGTCGTAACTGCCGCTATGTAGGCGAAACGCTTTCAAGCGCGGTTCCGGCACTTCAGAATCTGGCGAAATTCACTGTCAAACCAGCGAGACCCCATGGCGTGTGTCCTATGGCGTTTAGTTCGCACAAATATGTATATATATACCAATGTTTACTGATACGGGCCAAAATAACCATGGGTTAACGAAAAATATAAGTTAAGAAGCGGGGAAAGCATAACAGTCAACTTGGGGAATAACAAACTTTTTATCTGTTTACTGCACGTTTTGAGCTTTTTCGTTTTTGTTTATTTTTATGATTGCACACAGAATAGGATGCATTCACGCTACTGACTTCGGTTCGATGCCATATCCCGCAGTGTCTCCAGCCAAAGGCAGTCTGAATCTTCGGGGCCCCCGCCGGGAAGCCCCAACAGAAGCCAGATCCGAGCAGTCTCTTTAACTCTCGGCTTAAACACCGTCACTAAGCCCAAAACGCCGTCCCTGAAGGTGGTTTAGGCGAGTTCCACGTCATGTGAACATTTAGTTCTTTTACACACTTTCGTGTGATGAACATCAGACGGAGCAAACCCCATAGTCACTAGGGTCTGCTGTTCAGTGACGGAAACCGGTAACCTAAGCCCCGGGAATTGGAGTGGTGAACCACATAAGGTCCCGATAGGTTAGGCGTGGTATTGAACCGAACGACAGCAAACCTGCCCACCACCAAAGTCGGGTAGCGGTGGCGGGGATCGAACCTCAGACCATAGGGTCCAAANAGCGACTAAACCACTGCGCCACTACCACCACCCAAGAGAGGGATTGTTCAGTTCAGTTCAGTTTGTGCAACCATTAACCATGCACCTTCGTGCGGCGGTTTTAGTTGTCTTTTGACTGCCCATTTGGATGAGGAATTGGACAAAGACAGACGGAGAGGGATTGTACTGTAATTCGCATACCCTCGTAGTCTGTCTTCCAGATATTGGGTCCCAAATGTGGTTGAGGGCGGCACGGGGCTCCACGGCGCCAATGCACCAAAAGTGTTGAGTATCCACTTAAACCGATAGGGGGAGGGGGTCAATGGCATCAAAGTCCGACGATCTCGGGGATAAAATCATAACCAGAGTTTACGCAGCGACAGCATTTGTTATGTTGGCTGGCGGAAATGATGCTGAAGAGCCCATTGATGCACAGCTGCTCTCTATAGACTCGGTCTGCTCCTGGCAGGCGGCGATTTTCATCCCAGCTGATTTGCGGCACGTTGAATCACCCAAGATCAGACAGTGACCATCGCTGGCCCAGCAACGCTGCCGCGGGTGGTCTGAAGCAGGAACGGATGATCATGTAGCCATTGCAGCACA